ACAATTATGTAATATACGAAGAAATTTTTATTTTAACTATAACATATAGCTTCCATACAAACCGAACGTTAGGAATCAAGGGCATGTATGGAAAATTTTTGCATTAGACGTGGTATCTTCACGAAATTTGACATGGATTACTGCTTACGGTAATAAGCATACAAACTGAGCTCATAGTTACTAAAAATACACCTGTCAAGGGTATATTAGCTTCGACAGCCGAAGTTAACGTTTTTTCTTGTTCTTATCTGGAAAAGGCTGCGCTAACGGCTCCGTTGTTAAGGTCTATGATGCCAATAACTGCTATGTCTGGCTCGTCTGGTACTCAATGGATCGCAGAGGTTCTTCCCGATTTTGACATAGCTGATATTTATGCCCTACGTCATTCTGAAAAATTTAGATATGCAGGTCTTATCCGTGCTGTCGAAAGCGGCTTTGAAATAGTGATGGATGTCGATTTATTTTTGAATGGTCTTCTCTAGAACTTGACGTGTGGTGAAAACCTGGTCCATGATGAAATTGCCAAATCTGGGTCTTAAGTTTAAAGTCCCCTCTCGATGAGTAAATACCAAGTTCTACAAGTCACTCATCTTCCCCGTCCTGCTGTAAGGTATAGGAGCATGGACGATGACAACAACTGATGAGTCAGGGAGACGAGTTTTCGAGACAAAGGTTCCGCTGCAAATTTATGGTCCTTTGCGCATTGGCTACGGCAAATACTGCAGTCGATAAAACGAGGAGTTGTATGAATTATTATATAAGACGACATTGTTATAGTTCAGTGAATTAAGGACAGCGGCAACGCTAGCTAGGTCAAGTCGTCCGAATGGATGAAAACAATCCAGCTCTGAAAGTATTCGACGCAGTACCCACCGGGGGAAGCAGAGGAAGATCTCTACAGACTGGGAAGTACCAATATATAATTGGTGCCAAACAGCGAAAAGCAAGAACGACAATAACTGTGTAAGCGTGACCACGCCATTAAAGAGAAGAAGAAGAAGGGCTTAACCCTTCCATGATCGAAATAACCTTACACGCAATGTTAAGACAACGAATCCTAAGATAATTAGCGCCAAACTGGGGGATCTTCCTTCTGGTGGATATTACAGTAAAGTATAATATACCAATCATTGGGCGTGTATTCAATCCAAATCAAGCATAGCTGCCGAAACGTGCGCCTTAGACACCTCTGCCGGTAATCTATCCGCCTCTGAAGCCTTATTACGAACAACCTTAGAACTGTATCACCACGTCTTCGTCGATTGTTGGGAGACAATGTTGTCAGTGTACATTGTGTGTCATCCGTGACAATATAAGTTTTGCTATTTTAGTGTTTGTACTCTGTTTGCCTGTTATCACGCTTCCATTCCATTCCTGTCTTTACAGAAGCCTCTTTAAGTATTTTCCTATTATAGTCCCAAACTTCATCATACGTTACAAAATATGAATATGCATTTAAATACAAAACATCGTTCATTACAATAACAATGAATTTAATGCGCTTTAATTATGTTTTGGCAATTAATCAGCGACATGATATATGTTTGCATTTTCAGAGCTCTGACCTCACAGAAGCAACTTGTTTGTTGATTTTTAACACCTGCCTACGAAATGGAAAGGCATATTATTGACTGCGCTTACATTGAATGACCTTGACTTGCCTCTCAGTTTACCTCCTACCGGCTCTGTGACCACGCACGCACATTTCATTTTCATTAGCCCTGTCTAAATAATTTAATGATGTGTCACAAAATATTCGCGCTTCAGCCAATCATTTTTAATTAAAACTATATCTTGATTTTATGTATCCTTCATTTAATTTATTGCATCTTCAAAAAAGGTGTGCACAAAAAGTGCTCTTGAAATGTCAATGGAATAAAAGATTTTTGCATTTTATTTAGTGCACTCATTTAAGTTTTGGTAAAAGCTATTGTATTAAATTAGCAAAAATGTGTGTCCTTCATCAAACTAATTCGCAATATTGCAAAACTGCTGAAAAGACAGATGTTATCTAATGTTTTATATCCATCAAAGATCTACCCACGCTTTGTCGCTGCAATGTGTAGTTTATTCGCTGATTTTTATTGCACTGTTCGTAATTGGCCATAATAAATTAAATAACAACAATAAAATTAGTAACACTATTTGCTTAAAAGTCCGTAAAAATTAGTGCCATTTTGTTGATGCAGGTGACTCCAAATGAATATGTTCGCAGCACATAAATTCATATTTTCAAAAAACAAACAATAAACGACACGCCCAATTGCAATTGAAACTAGAATACCCTTCACAATAAAAGAATTTTCAATTCAAAACCTTGATTTTGAAACCATTTTTTTCTTCATAAGAGATAAGTCAAAAATCAGTCAAGGCAAAATTTACCTCGATGATTGCTCCTTTTTCTCGGCTAGTTTCACAAACAAATTTGTTTTTTTTTTTTGCTCTTGACTCATTACAAATAACGGAGTTTACCCTATCACGCCTACAGATACGGAATGTAAGGCCTTTTGACTAACACCACTGGAGACACCGCCCGCTTTTAAGTGAAATCTCATATCTCATGGTTATATAACCTTACTTTTTTGTTGACAGAAGTATGACACAGTCGGAGAATACTTTATGCGTAGTTGTATTTTCCATAATTATAAATTGCATTTTCAATTCATCTTCTTCTTAACTGGCGTAGACGCCGGTTACGCGATTATAGCGGAGTTAACAACAGTGCGCCAGTCGTTTCCTCTTTTCGCTACGTGGCGCCCATTGGAGATTCCAAACGAAGCCTTTCAGAGCTGGAGTGCTTTCGACAACATGACCTAGCCAGCGGAGCCGCTGTCTTTTAGTTCGCTGAACTATGTCAATGTCGTTGTATATCTCAAACAGCTCATCGTTCCATCGAAAGCGATATTCGCCGTGGCCAAGGCGCAAAGGACCATACATTACAGAGTGAGACTATTAATTATAAAGTGATTCCATTCGAGTTTTCCTACTTTTTTTTTTAAGAAAAAACAGAGAAAATTTAAATATTAATGGGGAATGTTCAGTATAATTCGAAAGAACGTTCTTTGGCAATTATTTTTTGAGGATTATCTCTTTCAAATCTTGTCCGTTGACCTCTCAGATGGGTTTTTCGTTGAGTACAATTCTCTATAACTCGTTCGAGCAGTTCGACCGGTAATTGGCGAATGACATGCGTGATTTTTACTTAACATTTCCCCACAGAAAAAAGTCTAACGGTGTGATAAAACGGGTCTTCTTGGAACTTTTCAAGAGCCCATAAGTGAAGCATGAGAAGAACGAGCGCCTTCAGTTTTTGCAAAAGTTATATTTGGTTCGCTTTTAAGTTAAGATCTCGACGTAAAATGGCATCGAATTGACTTTCCACGGTCGGCGTGTACACTCTCAGCAACCGCTGCTATATTTTTTAACTGCGTGCTGGACTGCATGTTGTCTATTCGGACGCATATTATCCAATAATAAATGCTGGGTCTCAAGATGGCTGATGCTGCTGCCAATAGTACACTCAAGGCTATTGAAAAAAGTACCCCTGCTTGGATCACCTTATCATTAGAGAAAAACATTGAAATCAGGAAGAATTTCTTCAGCGTATGACATATCTGACTTTCAAACCCGAACCATTCCCTCAATAGAAGGAAGTATCCGCCAGAAACGGTATAGAAGGATTTCAGTATTTCAGACACATTTGAAAACGAGTGTTTTTTTTTTAACATGGTTTAAATGAGGTAATACTTATTTTGAAATTGATCTTTTTAACTGTAACTGCTACTTAGTTTGTACTCATTTTGCCTTGAGATTTTATAATGATGAGACTTGTTCCGACACAATCTTTGTGAACAGTGAAATTTATTACGTAAATAAGCATCAGAATTTGAACTTCAAGCAACCATGGATAGGTTTCGCACCACTTCTACCCTAGTGGAAATTGCTTATTCTCAGAGATGCCGTACAATGTACACCAAAGACGCTAATGCTGCAGTGAAGCAGAACATAGAAAAGATTTGAATGAGTTTCGTTTACGGGCTCACAAAATTCAACTCGGGCAGGAATTGAAGCAGAACGATGAACGATCATCGGTAAGTGGGACCAAAGAGAGGCCACTGAATCCGATTTTCACAAGAAAATTTTGTTCTGTAGACCACTTTTTTGTAGTTGGGACGCCATTGCATTCGCAAAAAGTCGCTGTTTGGTGTGCTAAAGGACGGAGGGAATCATTAATGCATACTTATTTAATAATTATGTTACAGTCAATTAGGTAGGCTATAGAGATATCATAATTGACTATTTCGTGCCTGAACTTGAGGAAGTTGATTATTAAGGACAGTTTTCATGAGCGCACTATCGCGAATCGTGGCTTATAAGTGCCTTGTCTACGCAGATAAGTAAGCGACGACTGACACTTAGAATAGAATATTCGAAGAGTTATTGCTGACATATGTCCCTAATTGCTGCAAAAGATGGTGCAAAATTACTTCTCTCGTATAGAAATAATGCAAGCCGGGCGAGCGGTCACTTGCCGAAATCATTTTTAAAATATCAAACATGAAATTTGTAGAATTAGTTTATAGTCTTAATAGGAAAACATCTGCAGTCAAATAGGATATGTACTCGTATTTTCGTAGCCTAAAATACAAAATAACGTATCATCAAAAAAATCGAAATTGAGTTTTTTTATTGCTTACGATTCACTACAACATATGACATACTATATACGTAGCATTAATTTTTCAGCTTCCGCTGTCAGATATAACCAATATATAACCAATATGTAACCAATTTATAACCATTTTATAACCGCTGTATAACCAATTTATAACTAAATCTCAAATCTTCTTTCAATATGGGTGGTTTCTATTAAATCGTTTTTCCTTCGTTTGTCAACTTATGAAAAGTGATGTTACGTTGTTTTGCATTTAGATGACGATATACATCATATTTACGCATTTATTATGTACTATACAAGAAATATATTTATATTTACTCACATGATTGTTACTACTTTCGAGAAAGTTCTGGTTTTCGTCGATTTAGTTCATAAATTTTATTTACTTATTATTACTATTTTAACCACGCACTAACCAGTGCGTTTCTGTTGCAAATTTTTAACTGAAAAAAAGCACTGCGCATAAACAAAAGCACATACAATTATAGCTAACAAATAGTAACACAAATTCACAAAAATTTCTGCAACAGCATCAGATGATTTGCGAATTTGCGAATATGCTTTTGTAACCGAAACACAATAAAACCAAAAAAAGTGAAAACTTCACAACAAACGGCACATAATTAACACACTTCGATGGCTCTTAGAGCATATGGAATTTAATCACATAGATATGCTGCACTTGTATGTATGTATTCGTCTATATTTCGTGTTCACAAAGCGATAATGACTCGATGACGCTGAAGACGTTGACCGATATTTCGCCGATATTGCTGAATATCATTTATTGGCCAATTTCTTCAGGTGTCTGGGAAACGGATTAATGGCAATGAAACCAGACCGCCGTGTTGCTCTACAAAGACAAGAAAGCAAATATAAAACGACGCGTTTGATTTTACGCCACTTTAATGCGCGAATTTATAAATAAATAACTAAAATTTTGGGCGATTGCATTTGCTGGGTGGCATGTCAAAGTTTGTTTGGGATGTCGTCGTAGTCACTTGAGAAAGACCGATATATAACTGAGGCTACGACAGCACACAACAAATTGCGCTTGCGCGACAACGCATAGAAAGCGATGTCAGGTGAGGACAAATCCAATAAAGAGCAAACATTCATTTGAATGAATATGCTTGTAAAGAAGCCAAGTCTTTACAATAACGCTACTATGCGCATATTAATATACATACGTATCTATATCTGTGCTTAAGTACAGCTACGAATATAAGGTAGAGAAATGCGAATGAAGAAAATCAGTAAGGCAGAAATACACAGCCAAGTGTAGTTGGGTGATAGCCAGCCACAAGCAGCTTGTTGGAGAAAGTTGTGCTTGGTATGAGTAAGCAAGTACATGCGTACGCGTATATGTACATATGTATGTATGTATGCCGGAGAGAAAATCCGAAATCAAAACAAAATGCTTAAAACGTGAGAGAGAGAGCTAACCTTTGTTTGTACGGATAGGGAAAAATGTAAGAACAAAGCGCAAAATATTAAAACAGAGCGTTGCCAAACTATAACTAAGTACAATACTTACATGCTTTGCACGTTATCACGATGGAGCACAAAAATGGAAGTGCTAAGTTCCGGCACAGTCAAATCTTGGATATTCTCACAATTTTTTTTGATTTAGAAGTATCCCAAACGAATTCAACATTCGTAATTCAAAATCCCTACAGTAAATTGTTGAACAAAAAATATAACTGCAGAGAGGATAATTTGGGTCGATATAAAACAACTTTAAGATTGAACACTTTTCTGTGCCGATTTTACAAGTTTTTGGTACCATATTAAATATGAATAATATGTTCAAGAAAATATAACGACTTTACTTTAAAGAGTGAAAAATACTGAACTGTATGACAAAATTAAATTTCAATTAACCAAAGTTAAAAAGAAAAAAAAATCTCCTAATTTTATGCAAATAAATGCAATTCAAATTAAACAATTATAAATTTATTATATGTTATGTACTTTAATTGAGAGTGAGAAAAACTTACCTGAACTCGTGTCTCACAATCTTCTAAAAAATGTTAAATCCAATTTGGTTCATTAGTTTGAAAAGCCCCATAATATAAGTAAACAATTACCAAATCTCTAGTGTGAGCTCATCAGCTCCTCAGATTTAGTTATTAACAACTTAAGATTAGTAATGGTAAATAAACAATAGTTAACAAGTAAGGAAGGGCTAAGCTCGGGTGCAACCGAACATTTTATACTTTTGAAATTTGCTAGAATTAAAGCCAGGGATATATTATATTTACGTAGTAAAACGTCAACCAGAGAATCTTAATCTAAGAAATGGTACATGTACAACTACTCTATATAACTCATACACTGGGCGACAAATTCGGCATAAGATTTGTTAGAAAAACATTTAAACATTCATTATATGTAGTACAGAGTTTGTCCGGAAAGTAGTAGGACTTCAAAAAAATTTATAGAACCAATCGCTACAATTCTTTAAAAACTAACAGAATAGGTTTCTTCTACGCGATTTGAAAACATTGAAGGCATTGCGAAAGCTATTCTCCGGAATAGTCTTGAGAGCCGAGGTACATGCAGCTTGGATCCTCTCTGTCATCTCAAGATGCTAACCTTTTATCGGCCTTTTCAAGCAAGAAAACAAAAACAAGTCCGAGTAGGCCATATCTGGACTGTAGGGCGGCTGCAGAAACGTTGGGATGCCAGCCTTGTTTGGAAGAAAATTAGTCCTATTACGTTCCGGACAAACTCTGTATACATATAAAGTTGAGGTAGTACCGACTCAATTTTTCTATCATATCACATATTAAAAAAATGTTCCCTAGGGTATATGGAGGCTCAGCGAAGTATTGACCCGATTCAACCCATTGGTAATACACAGAGATATTATTATCAGAAAGGAATTGTCTCTGAATTTCAATTGTATATCCCATACATTGTTCGATATTTTCGGTCAAAAGTCGACTATAGATACTGAGATCCACGGTATCGGTGGCCCAATTTCAACAGCTTTTGGTTACAAGGTATCATACTTTAAAGAGGTTTTGATGCAAAGTTTTATCTTGTTATGTTAATTACTTTTTGATTTGTGTGCTAAAAAATGAAAGAATCAAGTGAAATCTAAAACTCTTTTATGTAGGAAGCAGTTTTCCACTGTGATATAGAAACATGAAAAGAATGCTATGGGCTAAATTGAGTGAAAATCGGTTGGTCGGGTCCCGACATATGTGATTTCACCAAAAAGTGGGCGGTGTCACGCCCATCGTCCCATTTTTACACCGGCTTTTTTAAGCCTTTTCATATCATCTCTATGGTAAAATTGAATGTCTCTGGTGTATTTAGTTCTTGATTTATGTCGCGTTTAGTACTTTTTAACAGTACCGTAAGATGGGGAGTGAGTGAGGTTATATTCCGATTTCATCCATTTTCATACCGTATATAGAAATAAAAGATGTGAGTGTGTAAAAAATCAAAAAAAATAAAAAATATGTAAATGTCTCATAAAGTGGTAAAGGCAAGCCCTTATATCCGATATTCTATCTCTATTTAACTATCCTAATCTCTCTCTTTTATTCGCTGCTCTTTATACAAACACAATTTCGGAAAAAGAAAGAGTATTATGAAAATTACTTTTAATTGTGTAATTTATTTGTCTCATTATATGGCTACATTATTTATATAAATACTCCGTTACAGCTCGTAAAATTGTTCAACCTTTCGCAACCCAAAAACAGGAAAATGCCAATCCGAGTCATAGCGAATTAATCTTGATTTAAAAAAAAAAATATATAAAAAAATATAAATATCTAGCATGCAACTTCTACTCTTTCTTTTTTGAGTAGTGTAAAAAAGGTTCCACTTAACCAGAAGGTTAGAAGGCAATATTCAAAAAAAGAAACAAATTGGAGTAATAAACACACAACTTCAAAAACCGGAGCATAAGGCAGAACAAATGCAACATTTTCGTGAGAAAAGAAAACGCATTTAGTTTCTAATGATTTTGATATTAAATGCCATTTGACATTAGTTCTAGCATATTTTGTAGATTATAACTGTTAAACAGAGAAACATATCTCAGAGCTAGCAATAAATACTTGAGAACATACTGTCGATCTCACAAGTTTTATTAGCGAATATAATAATCCAAAATGTATAAAAATAAAAAGGACTGTACCAACTACTACTTACAATTAAAATATATATAATACTAAATTAATGTCTGAGTTGTACCGAACTTTGTGCAAGCAAATACAAACATGTAATGATAAATAGAAGAACGAGTACAACTCATGCCAATAGACAATTACTAAATTAGTAAAGCATACACGGAAGCTAAATGAGTATCTACATATAATATATTGCGTAATTGCACTAATGCCACTAGTTCATATATCATAGCATTGCTGTATTCACCAGCAACAACAACAATACGAGCMGCCGCCGATCGAAATCAAAAATTAAAAATTATACACTAAATTAAGTATGACTATGAAGCATTAATGCTTTTGCCCACCGCCACCGCCGCCTTTATGACTGGAACTGCCAAATAATGAAGCGGAAGCATGTGATGCACCGCCAGAAGCGCCCAATGAGGCATTTAAAATCAGATTGACAAGACTGCCCACTATATGAGAAGCGATATGCTTGATAAAGCCACCCGAGTCGGAGCCACCGCCCGCATCACCTTTTCCTTTGTCGCCATGCGAATGGCGTGCATCAGAGCGACGCTCATCGCCGTCCTCCTCATCGGATTCTTTGCGATTTTTCGCCTCTATAAAACTACTAATGAGATTGCGTGCAAAGAGGAAAGGGTTCGGACGTGCGTCATCATCTTCGGGGTCCTAAAATCGGAAAGCGAAAAAGAAAAAATTTATAAAATTATATAATTATAAAATATATAAAATTTTTTTTTCACAATTCAATCTTGCCAAAAGACTAAATAATGGTGTAAGCTATTAATTGCATTAACGTGCGATTATTTACAGTAATTGGTTAGTTGAAGTTTGTAAGCGGTGCATAGGTAAATAAATATCATGAGTGCAATAGATACTATTTGATATATCGTAATATATATGTACTGCGCTGAGTTGAGCGTAAACAGTGCCAAGCAGATTGCCGATAAATTGTCCATTGTTCACCTAAAATATTAAAAAAAAAAAAATTTGTGATTAGTTTAGAATTCAAATCAAATTGAAATTAATATGTATGTACCGCTCCACCACCGCCGGAGAGACCGTCAAATGCCGTACCTATGTATATGCCCAGCACTGTGCCGAAGTTTTTGTTGCCCTGTTAAAGAAAAATGCATAAGTTTTAAGTTATAAATTCTGAGTTTGACTATTAAAAATCAAGTTCAATGTATGGTACACCTACCGCCAGCAAACCGGAAATGAGTGAAGTTGCCGTGCTGATGAGGGATTCAATATCTAAACCGCCTGGCTGGAATAAAAATGAATGCCAGTTAAGAAATATAAAGCATGAATTAGGTTAAAAAAAATAATCGATTAAAAAAAAAACACAAAAACAATATGACAAGAAAGGACACGGAAATTTGTTATATTATTCTTCAACATTTATTTGTCGCCTTGAAAGAAATCTCCACAAGATGTATTGTAATACACTTATGCCAACGATTTTTCAAGTCTTCGAAAGACTTTTCATAAGAACTTTTTGAGATGCTCTTCAGCTCCTTCAGCGAACTTTATTTTATCTATCCGATCAACTGAAAACGGATTCCACGGAGCGGCAATTTCAGTTTGGGAAACAAGCAAAAATTGCACGGAGCCAAATCTGTTGAAAACGGTGGTTGATCGATGGTATTCATTGTGTTTTTGGCTTTCAATTTGGTCGCAATCGTGGCTCGATGCGATGGTGCATTATCAACGAGTAAAATCTGTGAATTGATCTCCATAATTCCAGCCGTTTTCGACGAATGTTCTCACGTATATGCGTCAGTATGGTCAAAAGACTGTCTGTCCCTCCCGAACAAAATCATGATTGTCCAACCCCGAATATCGAAAAAAAACAATGAGCATCACCATGATTTTTGAGCGGCCCTCTATTCCAATGATTGTTGACTTGTTTGCATATCAAGATCATAAACCCATGTCTCGTCATCAGTTATAATGTTCTCCATGAATATGGCATCGGAATTTCCACGACCAAGCACATTCAAAGAAACCTGTTTCTTCTTCTCTTCTTAATTGGCGTAGAACCTGTTTACGGTACTCTTTTTGAAAAAAATCAAGACGAGTCTAGCAAGAACGCGTTTCATAACCAAAATATTCACACAAACTCATTAACACTTGTCTGACGATTCTCAAGCTCCATATCCTTCACTTTTTTTAATTTTTCATCAGCTAAAGTAGTCGAAGGCCGTTCAGAACGATGCATGATCTCTCGGCCATCTTTGATGACTTTGTACCACTCCCAGGCTTGTGTTTTGATAAAATTGAATGACTGTAAGCCTTTTCCAACATTCGCAACGATTCCGCTTTCGAAATTTGGTTAGAGATACAAAATTTGAAACAAATTCTACAGGGTTTGTTCGGAAAGTAATAGGTCTGAGTTGATTTAAATTTATTAAACCAATCGTTAAAATTCTTTAAAAACTTTCAAAATAGGCTCCTTCTGCATCGATGTAGCGCGATTTCCAAGCATTGAAAGCGTCGCGGAAGACATTCTCCGGAATAGTCGTGAGAGCCGAGGTGTATGCTGCGTGGATCCCTTTAATCGGCCTTTTCAAGCAAGGAAACTAAAAAAAAGTCATCTGAGCTTTAGGGTGGCTGCGGAAGCGTTGGAATGGCGTCTGGTTAAGTAGCTGTTCGCAAGAAAGGCGGTGTGAGTCAGGGCGTCGTCGTGATGCAACTTTCAATCTGCTGCGATGTCTTGTCGAACCCGATTAACCCTTCGTTTGAGTCTCTTGAGGACTTCCACGTAAAACTTGGCATTGACGGTTTCTCCAGGAGGAAAAGATTCATAGTGGACGACGCCTTTGATGTCAAAAACGACAATGAGCATCATTTTCATTTTGGATTTGCTCATTCTTCAGGTCTTGATCAGCGACCTCTTCCCGGCCCTCCAAAACGCCTGGTGTCACAGAAACACACCACTTCTTGCAGTCCTACCCACTGAGCAAAATACTCTTTTTGGAATATCATTTACCCGGGGAATTTAAATTACAATTTCCGGATACTTTTTTGTCACAATATATATTAATATAGATATAAGATTTATATTAAATTAGCTTTGCACCGTCTCACTCACCCCAAATAAAGTAGAAATGACGCCAGTTAATGCTCCAATTAATGCGCCGATGTCTGACCCGCCTTCACCCTAGAAAGTCAACGAACGGTTTTTAATAAACAATGGAAAAGTTTAAACAAATTTCAAATAGTCAAAGTGCATTTGACTTACTTACACCGCTCAAACTCGTTATAATTCCTACCAAGCCGCCACCACCAGCATCAGGCGGCGGTGGAGCATCAGGGAAGTCGTCGTCTGCATCCAAATTGCCAGCTGGTGGTGGCAGTGGTGCTATTGGCGGAAATTGTTCCAACTCTTCCTGTTTGGCAAGCTTTGGTTCATCTACATCTATTATGGCGATGCTTTGTGTTAGTGTGGGATTAGGTGACGTAGTTGTTGTTATGGCAGCGTTCGCTTTTCGTGTGCTGAGGTTCTTAGTAGCTCTTGTTGCTCGTATTGTTGTTGTTGTTGCCGTCGCTGTTGTTGTTGTTAATGTAGGTTTACTCTCTGTTTTCTGATTGCTGCGATTTTCAATGACTATCTTAGACTTTAATGTTGGGTTTTAATGAAAATTAAGTTATAACGACTTTAGTTTTTTTTCTAATTTTAAATATTTCATTATTTTCTAAGTTATGTGGCGCATTCCAATGCGGTTAGTATAAGCGTAAACCAAGTGTGATTAGTGTAAATTCGTAATCACTATAACAATAACAAAAATAAAATACAACGTTTGAAATACTCACTCTCTTAGCGTTTGACGGGAATGCAAAGTCTTCTTCTAGAGAATCATCTATAAGCTCGTTGTTTCGATTGTCAAGACGTGCATCTACGAGGTTATTGCGAAAATCCTCCTGGGGTTGAATAAAACGGCCCTTTAAATATCATAAATACTGCAGTTTTTTTCTATTTGTAATTATACTATGATGCATTCTCAAGGAGCTATAAGTTTCAAAGGGGTTTTCCCACTTGCAAATCAGAAAAAGCGTAATTTGTTCTTGCAAGCCGTTGCTACAGAATAAAATAGTTTTGTTCACCTAACGATTGTACAAATCAACTAAAATTAAGTCTCTATGAAACTGCACGTATGCTAGAACAAAAAAATTTCGAATTCGTATATGGGCATAACTGGACCACTGGCACACGCTCGATTAAGCTTAGAATGTGGAATTTTTTCACATTCTTATGTCACAGTGTGAATATGGGCGAATTGGTACCGAATTTGTGGACCCCAGTATCTAGAGTTGACTTTTAACCGAAAATATCGGTCAATGTGGGAGATATACAATTGATATTCAAATAAAATTATTTTGTGACATTAGTACTTCAGAGTCAAATATGGATTGAGTCGGGCCAATACTCTCCTTACCCCCCGTATAAATAATATCAGCATTTCCAAACATTCGGCTGACTTTGCTCCATATGATTGGTGATGGTTTTATGTTTTGTTGGTATACTCTTCGTATGAACGTTTGTGAAGTTTCATTTCAATCTGTCAAGTCAGGATATGGTTTTGGAAGATCGTCCATTGACTGAGAGAGATTTAGTAGAGGTTCTACACATCTCTTTAGGCAGTGTGAGGCATACATATTTTAAATGAAATGGGTGCCGCATTTGCTAACAATGGAACGAGAAAAAATCGAATGCGACTTTCCCAGCAACATTTGGAGTATTTTAAAAAAGATAAAGTGGATTTTGTGCGTCCATTCATCACTATAGATGAGGCATGGTCTATCACCATGATCCTATGTAAATCAAAACAAGAGGCTAAATAGTGGTGTGAACCTGGTTGTTCAGCTTCGAAACGAGTTCGTTACCGGAAATTGGCCAAGAGGGTTATGACATCAGTTTTTTGGTATGCGAGAGGAATTTTGTTTGGGGATTACTTGCAAGATGATAAAATAATTATTTCTGAATATTATTGCATCCTTTTGTACTAGTTGAAGGAAAAATTCCTGAAAAAATACCCGGTTTACAGAAGAAAAAAATCCTTTTTCATCAGGACAATGCACCGTTTCTCAAGCGCATTTTGACAATGGTAAAAATCGAATTGTTGAAGCATCCACCGCATTCCGCAGATTTTGCCCCCAGCGACTTCCATTTCTTCCAAAACTCCAAAAATGTATGCGTGGTAAGCGTTTTCCATCAAATGAAGAGGTCTTAACGGCTGTAGAAGCGTATTTTGCAGACCTTCCGGATTCTTTCCTAAAATTATGTTTTCCTAACAAACGACTAAACTTATTGAACAACCGGGTATTTGTGGTACTTAAGTGAAACCTAGGGAACATTATCTTTGTTATGTGGCGTGATAATTGTTAATAGATAAAATCGTTTCGATCTAATAAATCCTATGCCGAATTTGTAAGTCAGTGTATGAGTTATATATAGTATATATATCGAATTGCTTGGATTCCGATCTTCTGGTTGACATTTTACACCTTCAGCTATTTTCCTAGCTTTGATTGTTGTAAGTTGCAAGAATGTTCGGAGGCTCCCGAATTTATCCCTTCCTAGCTTGTTATTTTTTTATTTTATAAATAAAAATAATTATCATTTGCAGTATTTAATATGCTTCTTTTCAACCAATTTTTGATTCCAGAATTTGGAGTCAATCTCCAGATGACTTCCGAAAAAGGTATCTGGTAGTGCATCTGATTATCTCAATCTTCTTCTTCGGATAATTGTAAATTGTTATCAAAACACTTTCTCCTTCCATCATTACCTAATAAATGTATCTGAAAACAACGTTGGGAAATAAATGTTTAAATCCGATTTTACTAAGTTAAGATATTCTTGCAAATAACGCCTTTCATATCTATGAAACTATTTTCCGGATATACAATCTTATATAATATTATTTTTGAAACAATCGCTGTTTTTTAAATTCACAAGTGGATGTAACCCCTTAAGTTCACTTCAGACAGCTAACGAATTGGTTTGTTTGAAGATATTTACCCAACCCAAGCTTTCTAACATCTGTGACTGTACAGACATAGTAAATTTGTACAGCTTTACCAAAAAATTAATTGAAGTGCTGTAACCCTATTTAAAGATTAAAGAATCAGAGCTTTGCTTTAACTGTTTCAATATAAAAACTAGCTTTCAACTGCAAATATAAATCACCTCGTTCAAAATGGACTCGATCATACGGACTTCTGCCGGCACCTCCGGTGTTTCTATCGCATTCCGTTTTCGCACCACTTTTTTGCTCGCCTGCTCCAGCAAGCTGCCCTTGTCTGCCTTTGTAATCAAATAATCCAAAGTTTCGGTAACTTTCTCATCTACAAGCGCCTTCATAGTGCGCACTTGCTGTAAGATCTGTCGCCGTAGAGCTGCGACGCGCTCAGCGACATTATTTTCATCAACGGTTTTATCATGTTGCGCAGTATTCTCTTGCGAGGTTTCCACATCAACATCGCCCACTGATTGCCTTCGTATTTGCTGCAGCGTTTGCTGCATATCCGCCTTGAAGTCGAATACGTCTTTTGTACCGGTCACCAAATCCATGGCACTGGTGAGTATTAATAATGCACGATGATCGCGCGCCAGCTGCTTTTCAATATTTTGCACTTTGGTCACGAGTTCATCATCATTTAGTTCATTAGCTTCAAAGAGTAAGCCTCTCACTATGTCTACTAAGTTACGCTCCATTAGCTGTTCCGCCTGTTTCGCGCCATTCAATATTCCTAAGGTGGTGATCACACGTAGTTCTTCGCGTGGCAAACGCGGCTCTAAGCGTTTGTAAGCACCCATGGCACGTACATAGTCGGCATTCAGCTGAACGCGTATGGACTTGCGAACTGGCGCACTGATAATAATTTGTGCGAGTACGATCAATATAATGGCGATAATGGCCAGAAACGGTTTACGCATTTTGCGCCAGGAACGCATGAATTCACGTGTTAGTAGTTGCTTGGCAGTAAGACTCCCGATTTTCGTAGCTCTAAGGACACACAACACACCGAATATCTTATTATATTAGCGAAGAAAAGCGAACGGTTTTCACTACTCTTATTTATTTACAAATGATCTGCGGCAGTTCTTCAACAAATCGGCACTAAATTAGTTAACTCCGGAACAATTCATTTTATATGACTGCAACCTTTCCTAAGGCGGATGCGTGCGGGTCAATGAAGCGGAGCATCTGCACTATTATTGGCGCTCAACATCAACTATACGTAAGATGTACATTTACACAACATTTAACCATTACTGATGACATTATTTTGGTCACTATGGATGGCGCTTAGCATGCCACTCATTTCCTGGGCTTTACAGTCCACTGCACCTGCGGCAATGCTTCGCCGATTCCCAAACGTGCAGTTTTAATTTCTGTTTGATTGAATAAATTTACTTAATTGGATGATGGGAAATACTTTTTTTAGTTAAACTCAAAGGAAACACATTTTATATTTCCTATGTAAATAACTGAGTACTGCATAATATGACAACCATTTAAAGATGACGGTTGTTTATAAATTGCTTTAAAATTAATTTGGTTTCAATAGCAAAATTTGAGCCTTATTCCATGACAAATATACATTTTCTCTCATATTGTACTCAAATATACTTTTTCTAAAAAACAAAAAACTTAACAGAACGAAACAGCTAGAGATACCTGTCCAATGCAAACTCCTAGGCATGGGTCGATAAGACCTTCGTGTCATATATCGACTAAACGATATAAATTTATTGAGGCGGTTAAGGTCAATTACGTTTGCCATGATCGTCATCAAATGGGGAGTCTCTCATTCGAGGCTGTTGATTAGTTTTCATTGAGGGCGTTTTTTACCTGGCGGGTCCCAAACCCAGCGCACAACCCTGAGTAGGGATGGATCGCCTCTTCACTTTGGATCGCCCTCAAAGGGATGTTCTTTGGCTGCCCAAAAAATACTTAGTCTAATACCGAAAGTCGTGAGCTGCATGAGCCATATGTAAAAGAATCGTTTCTAGCCATTCCCAAGTGAATGACAATCAAAGAACTTTTCTCACTTGTGTGAACTTCTACACATGACTCCATCCTCCCAAAAACAACGTCAACCTCGAAATTCAAAACAGAATATCTGTTTCCAACATGTGCTACTTTGGACTAAGCAGGCAATTGAGAAGTAAGGTTCTCTCTCGACAAACGAAAACAAAACTCCATAAGTCACTCATTATTCCCGTTAAGCTATATGGTTCAGAGGCATGGACGATGACAACATTGGATAAGTGATCAAGATAAGGAAAACTTCCTCATTCCCATTCCGACATAGTTCGGGTAACGATGCCTTATCCTGCAAACTCATCGACTTTACAATTTCCGAAAACTCCGCCGTAGCCAGACACACTGACAAGTTTAATATGGGAGTAGCTTGATGCTACAGCTAGTGATGTCATACACTCCTTGAATATAATTAAGTTTACTGTCAGCAAGCTCAAGTCCTAAATTAGCAACATTGCTATCGGAGAGGATGCATACCTCTCTAAAAACGACGCACTTCAGAGAAGCGCTACATTGATGGCTACCACTTCTGCTTGAAAGATACTTCAGTGGTCTGAAACAAGAGTTGATTGAGAGCTCCCAACAGAAAACTCGCTCTCCTTCAACTTGGACTTCCATTCATCCGCAAAAAAGCTTACTGCGCCTCTACTCCAGCGACTCTACCTCACCTACGTATTATTCACCAATACCTACGTATTATTATTCCAAATTCTGAAACTAAGCGGCATTGTCCGCATAAACTTAAGACTTTACATATCCCCACAGGAAAAAGCCTAACGGTGTGATATCACATGATCTTGGTGGCCATCTACTGGCTCAAAACGTTAAATTATCTGATAAGCGAAGTGCTCTCTCAATAAATATATTGATTGATGCGATGTGTGGGAAGTGGTGCCGTCTTGTTAAAACCAAATATTGGGGAGATTTTGAGCTTCAATTCCAAGCATCAAATGGTCGGTTATCAAAGCGCGATAACTGTCGCCATGGACGGTTACGCTCTCACCAACATCACTTTTGAAGAAATTTGGACCGATGCTTCGATGGTCCCACAAATCACACGAATCCGTTGTTTCTCTGTATTATGGCATTTATTTAGTCTCTTCAGGTTGCTCTTCGTCCGAAATGTGGCAATTTTTCTTGTTTACATACCCATTGAACCAGAAATGTGCCTCATCGCTGAAAAAAATTTTGATTGAAAACGTCGGATTGCCTTGTAACTTTTGGCTTGATATGGTCGAGCAGCTTCAACACAGTGAGCACAAGCTGTATTTTGTACGCTTTTAATTTAAGTTATCGCCGTAAAATACCTCAAATCGTTCCATACCTCAGTCCGAGTTGCTGCAAACGACACCGAATCGACTCTCCATGGTCATCGTGTATATTCTCAGCTACCATTGTTACATTTTTTTAACTGCGTGCTGGGCATGGTGGATTATTATCCAATAATGAATGCTGAATCTCAAAAAGAGTGATAATGTTGCGAATAGAATGCTCAGCAGGCCGATTATGTTGATCATAAGTTGAGCGAAGCAGGCGAAATACATTCTTTACAGAACGTGAATTCCTAGATAAAATACCAAATTATACTGAACAAACATAACGTAATAGCATGACTCGACTCACGCGTGATCTATCAAAAATGAATATTGAAAAAAGTACCTCTACTTGGATCACCCGTTATAACTGAAATTCAACCACTGAATCAACTCAACAAAGTAAACCTAAACTGCCGCCATTGATGTTCACTCTACAATTTTTTATCATCAAAGCGTTCATTTCATTTCCTTGTTGAAAATAATAAAATCGTATATTCTTGGGAGAGAAATAAATATTTCAGCGAACTAATACTAAATACGTCTTGTTATGACGCATTTTTCCGTCTGCGGATAGCATTCAAACTGAATTGATTACTCAAATTTTGGTTTCTAATATCAATGTCCCTAGAGACCACCCGTTATTATATATTATTCTTCATAATACTTAATATGTGCACAGTAAATATTCAAATATTTTGAATTTAAATTTAGATTTAAGTATTAACGAGTTAATACATAATTTTTCGAGCACAAAAATTGCACTAATAATATGCATTAAATATGAACATAAGCTTATATCTAATCTCGTATTCGATTTAAATATCCGCTTCTGTTTCTTTTGTTAAGTCCTTCTCTGAGTCGTCTGGTTTTTAATCGGAAAAACAATTCTATCCCTTCTATTTGTAGAACGAGGGTACGTTCGAAAGTTAGACCGCCATCCCACTTCAACTATTGGTGATGGTACATCTGTTGTCACACGTAAAGGCTGTCTACCCCATATTATCCCACGTTCTATGCCGTCTTCTGCTAAAATAATATAAATTATCAAATATAGCTGATGTAAAAGGGTAACTAAACATTTAATTTCATTGCCGTCTTTTACCTCTTGATGGAGGCGTTGAACTATGTCCCGTAGATTTAGGCGGTCGTGCCATTGGTGCCCATTTTCTTTGTCGTGTGTTTTCAACATCCTGATATGAGTAATGTGACTGATCAGTGGATAGCGTGGAAACACTTGTGAATACACAGCATAACAGAAATACTACCGTTGTATATGTATATAATAATATTATGGTCCGTACTCCCATATTGAACCGTTGGCCATTCGAATAACACTAAATTTATTATTTCCAAACATTACGCTTCCCTATCAGATTTGAATAAATCTCAGCAGGCTTTACAATTCAGCTTTCCGCAAAAAGTGAGACCTATATACGTGTGGAACCGAAAAATAAATACTAAAAATAAATATTCTCTCAAAATTAAATATTCTCTCAAACCATGCTCAATCCCTTGCATATGTAATTCGAAGGGAATTGCTTAATTTTAAACTTAAACTTATACATACTTAAACTTAACTTTAACTTTAACATACTTAGACTGCAGCTTAAACTTATTCTTATACTTATACTTATACTTATACTTATACTTATACTTATACTTATACTTATACTTATACTTATACTTATACTTATACTTATACTTATACTTATNCTTATACTTATACTTATACTTATACTTATACTTATACTTATACTTATACTTATACTTATACTTATACTTATACTTATACTTATACTTATAGTTATACTTATACTTATACTTGTACTTATACTTGTACTTATACTTATACTTATACTTATACTTATACTTATACTTATACTTATACTTATACTTATACTTATACTTATACGTAAAATTAAACTTAAGCTATAGTTATACTTTTACGGATTTTTAAAACACGTTGCGGGAGAATAAAAAATCGGAATAAACAAGGAAGAAAGTACTATGTTCGGGTGTAACCTCATAGCTTAGAATGTTATTTCGCCAATTTTACAGTGTATGAAGAAAGGTTAGAGCACTTTTTTTCAGCAAGTTTGGTTAACTTAGCTTTAGTGGTTTGTAAAATATGTAAATATTTAGCTGAAAAAAACTAGTATACTGTGTAGCAACATGTTGCTTGGGTATAAAAACATGGATTTCCTGATAATCAGTGCTTTTAGCATTCTCAGGGAGTGCAGATGTTTTCAAGCATGTAAACAAGTTCGAAGCGTAAAACTAACTTCCGGAATTAAAGTGATAATTTCACAATTTTTGCTAATTGTTATCAGACTTTCTAATACCCCAAAAGAATTATTTGCTCTCTCGCTAAAGTCTTGGTGAATAAACAAATGAGAGAGTGAATCTGCGAGCAAACAGAGACTGTACTCACATTTGGCTCACATTTCATTTACAACTTTTAAGAATATCTGCGTAATGAATGTAGAAGCAGTAATAAGAAATAGCAGTAATTGTGAATTGAGAATTCAAAAGAAAGAGTATACAACGACACTTACTCGAAATATGTGGTAAATTATTTCACAAAAATGTATGCAGTTGCTTACTGGAAATAAAATAATTCATAATGACTACTTAAGATCGCCTTTGATTAGTCACGCATTTAGAAATTCGCCTAGTTTCAACTTATCAGATATTCTTTTTGTTTTTGAGGTACTCTATTTTTTTAAAGAAACAACACAGAAACCATGATTTAATGGGAATAGTTATTATCATTCGAAAGAACATTCTTTGGCATTTATTAGATTATCTCTTTCAAATGTTGGCCGCAGCTACATCTCAGATGGTCCATTTGTTGATTCGAATTTCGATCATTTCGACTGCTAACTGACAAATAGACGCGTGATGTTTTGCCTTAAGATCTGAATCGAAGCGGGATTGTCCGCATAGATATTAGGCTTTACATATTCCTATAGGAAAAAATCTAAGGTGTGATATCACACGATCTTGGTGGCCAATCAACCGGTCCAAAACATGGAATTATCTGTCAACCGAATAAATCCATTGATTAATGCGCGAGATTCAATTTCAGGCATCAAATAGTCAGTTATCATGACGCGATAAAGGTCGCCGTTGACGATTACGATCTCACTGGCATCATTTCTTGAGAGATGTGGACCAATGCTTCTACCGACTCACAAAACCACCAAGCCTTAATCTTTTTTGTATGAAATGGCAGCACTTGAATCTCTTTAATTTGCTCTTCGTCCCAAATGCGGCAAATTTTGCTTATTTACATACCTACTGAACTAGGAATGGGCATTATCGCTGAACAAAATTTGGCTGAAAGACGTCAAAACTTCCTGGAACTTTTCAAGAACCCATAGAGCGAAGCGATGTCGCTTGGGAAGCTCGAGCGGCTTCAGCTCTTGCATAAGCTGTATTTTGTATACTTTAAATTTAATAACTCGACGTAAAATGCGCCAAGTCAGTCTGAGTGGCTGCGAACGGTGCCGAATTAACTCTCCACGGTCTTCGCGTACACTCTCAGCTACGGCTGCAATAGTTTCCTCACTGCGTGCTGGACGTGGTTTATTTAGTCGAATATTATCTAGTATTGAATGCTGGGTCTCAAGATGGGGGATGGTGTTACGAATAGTACGCTCAGTAGCCCGATTTTGTTCACCATAAATTGAGCGAAGCGCGCGAAACATATTCTTTATAGAATGTGAATTCTCGCAATAAAGTTGAAGGATTTGTAAATGTTGTTCCGGCGTAAGCCTTTCCAAGATGAAATGCCAAACAATACCGGACAAAAAAATGTAACAGCTTAATACAACTCTGGACTGATCTGTCGGAAAAGCCTATTGGTTAGATATTCCCTACTCGGATCACCCGTTATAACGTTGTAATCTAGATCAGCCGGTTAAGGATAAAGATTAAGTTCACCCCTTTAGTTGATTAACCAGTACGCAACTTAGAGAATATTGCGCTTTCAGGGCTATAAATTTCAGTTTAGCTCAATCAAATCGCAATATACGCAATTAATTTCACTTAGTATATGTTTTTATTTAAGAATAATTTGGCTGATAACCTGAACCTTGCTTTTGTCATTTTATGCCGTAGAAATTGATAAGCATTATAAAACTTAAATTATTTTCAAATGTTACACTTAAGCTTAGTCAAAGCAAAACATTCGTTTTAATAACATCCCTTCTCTAAAATGAGCGCTCGAAAGTCGTGGTTCTTAAACAGTGCAATATTATTGTTGTATTGCGCATGCGGTGGCATTGAATATATATTAGCGCAACCCACGGGTGTGCGTATATTACACACTCTAACGCATGGTTTCAATATCCCACCGTTTCGGCCACCACCAGACAGCATTAGGTTTGATGGCGTGAATGGAGGATACATGGCAGTGCAAGTTGAACGACATCCATGGGAAAGACATCGGTTCCGACACCGTCACGGATATGGTCCCCATAAAGATTTTGTAGTTGCACAGCCAAAATTTCACAGTTCTGAAGAATTTAATACTAATAGTGTGGGCAATACACCACCATTCGTATTGAACCTTGCAGCTGGACCATTTCAAGCGCCTAGAGTAAATGTGGCATTAACTCAGGATTCAGTAATCGTAAACCATCCCTGGCATAATCCGAATAATCCGCATGACAGAAGCCATCACCATAGATGGCCCGATTGCCATAGGCCAATAGTTTCGAATCCCGACCTAAACGGAGAAAATGTACAACATGCAGGCTATGAACCTGGCAGTTTCGGACGGAATGCAATCTTTGAGACTACTAATAACGGCCTACGTGAATGGGAGAATAGTGGACCACCACGTAGAGGTGGAGGTCAACCAAAAGAAGATGCCGTCATAGATATTACGCCAACGACTTCTACAACAATGCGCGCTGCCCCACCAACTACAACCGAATCTGCTGAGAGAACTGTGGATATTACAGAACCAATGAAAAAAGCATATGAAACAACTACAGTCGGTAACTCAGCTGCAATTTCAACAACAAAAACATATGAAACAACAACAGCCAATATCTCAGGCGCAATTTCAACGCCTGTCGCCACTGTAACTGCAGCCCCAACCGAGAGCACGCTTGCAATTGATATAAGAAGTGGATTTGCTTAAAACGCAAATAGCAAAGGAAATACGATAAGGATTATATCGAAACTGTGAAAGTGTTGTATTATCGCTGTGGGTGAATGTAAATCGTAATGTCTTTATGTCTGATATCATTTGCTGCGATTTTTATACCTTTCATAAAATTTTTCTTCAAATGTATTAGCAAAATTTAAACAAAGTGAGCAATTTAATTTTTTAAGTTAAAATAATAAAAATATTTAGATAAATAATTTGTGAGTTAATACTATTTCAAATGTGCGATAGCAGTGGCGGATCCAGACATGTTTTTAATATAAATTTTACTTCGTAAATTCTGCTGAATTTGAATTAAATCTCTGATTTTCGAAGGGGTTTTTGTCACCCTTTATCAAATGTGTTTATTATTGTTACGTAGAAGTCAACAACATTTTACGGAAGTCAATTGTTATCTACCCTATTATGAGTACATAGACTTAATTCTTTAGGTCCAATTACTCTCAAAAATCTCCAAAAAATGTTCCGAATCAGCACGAGCTATGTCCGATTTCCTTCATTAATGCACCTACCATTTCCGAAGCAGACGTCTTATATCAGTTAAATATATTAGAACAATCATACAATTACGGCCCAGATATGTTTCCCTCGTGCTTTCTTAAGAAATGTGCCAAATATATATACCAACCCCTAACAAAACTATTTAATTCATCTCTTATGCAAGGMTTATTTCCATCCATATGGAAAAAGTCATTTATAATTCCTTTGCATAAGAGTGGATTTAGGTCATCTATTGAAAACTATAGGGGAATAGCAAAGTTGTCTGCAAGTCTTTGCAACTTTTTGAAGAAATTATAACAGACGACATAACCTTCCGGATCTCTCCACTAATTTCTTATTCTCAGCACGGTTTTCGTAAAGGGAAATCCACAATAACTAATTTGCTTGAATTTGTATCACATGTATCAACGGACTTTAGGAAGAATAAGAATATTGATGTTATATACACAGAATTTAGTAAAGCTTTTGATAAAGTAAACCACTCAATTCTTTTGAATAAACTTGATCTTCTTGRTTTTCAACCAATATTTCTAAAATGGGTTGCTTCTTATCTTAGTAACAGAATTTAACAAGTCATATTTTACGATACTTATTCCGACATAATCAATGTTCCTTCAGGTGTTCCTCAAGGTAGCCATCTTGGTCCAATTCTGCTCTTGTT